CCAGTTAAATAATAGTTTCTTTTAGGATATTGAATCTAATTTTATAAAGAAGAAAGTAACAATATTAAGCTTGGAATAAATATTTTAAAATATATTCTTTATATATTTAAACAAATTTGTCATATTATTTTGAACTCGACTGTACCTCTTAGAAAGCATTCCACGCTTATGTGTTCTTGTGTGCGAACAAATTGCAGTTGCCCGGCACGTTCGTGGCCAACAAATCACAAGCAATTATAGAAATTTAAGAAGAAATCGCCTGTCCCAAGGACCCAGGGACCAACAGCTGCCGCTGACGCAGGACATGGACATAAAACTTGCGACTTGCGCGAGTATTTGTTTAGTCGCCGCGCAAAAAAAAAAACAACAAAATAAAACTAGATATACATAACAAGCAACAAAAATGAAAAAAAGAAATAGCTTCCACTAAATCGAAAATGTTTACGGATAAACGTTAAATTCAACGTGACAGCGGAACATTGTATTTACGGCGGCGCGGAGAGGACACTGCGATTAGCGATCCTGTGTGTCTGTGTCAGGATGTCATGGGTTACACTCGTAAGCACTTTATTGTTGAATGTGAACATGAGCGATTATCGCCGTGTTCTACATATTTGCGTTCATTACAAGAGATTAGTGCCCGGCAATCGCTCCGTAATCCGTTACGGGCCACGGACTATGGGCTATGGGCTATGGGCTACGGCTACGGGCTACGGGCTGTGGCGTCAGGAATCCGTGTCGCGGCCTATAAACTCCATTAATTTGCATAATTGCACTCAAGCATGTTTAATTTGTATTTATTGCGTTATTACGCATATCAACGGACCGCAAATTCAACGACAACCGCCAAAATGCAGTTGCAAACGCAGTCGAGGAATGCATCCAGATGATGCATACCCGGTGCGATGCGGATAACGATAATGATGATGGCGATAGTCATGGTGATGGCCAGGCTCAGTGGCGGTCAATGGTTGCCAACTATGCAGCGAATATTGCGGGTTTCATGTATGCAAGCTGCTTTCATCAAGAGAGTTTCGGTATGCATCCGTAGGTATACGAATCGATAATGGTGGCAATTTCTCTGGGCCCTAAGATAAGCCAATAATTTAACCTAGATGAATGCTAATTTCTAATCTTTGACATTAATATTAAGTTTTGGGTAAATAGTAATCATTTTTATTATAGCCTTTGCAGGGGTACTGTAATTTAAGCTTCCGTTTTTATAATACAACAAGAAAGGAAGCTAACTTCGGCACGCCGAAGTTTATATACCCTTGCAGATAGAACTTCTATCAATAAAAAACCATACAATAGAAATGATATATATTTGTGTTAAAAAACAGTGAAGTAATACCTGCTTTCATTGTATTCACCTATACATATTATATTTGCAGTTTTACATTCAAAGACTTGCATTTTTCCTCTACATCAAACGATCGTTTGTATGGCACCTATATGATATAATAGTCCTATTTTCATGAAATTTGACACAAAATTTAAGACTAATATAAAATGCCTATACCTAAAATTTGATGAAAATCAGTTGAAAACTGAAAAGGTTATAAATTTAATTGTATTAATTTCTCGATCGTTCCTATGGGAGCTATATGATATAGTAGTCCGATTTTCATAAAATTTTATGCAAAATTGTAGAGTATAGAAAAATGGCTATATCTCAAATTTGATCCAATTCTATTGAAAACTGAAAAAGTTAAAAATTTTTTTGTAAAAATTTTCCGATCATTCCTATGGCAGCTATATGATATAGTCGTCCGATCCGGCCCGTTCCGACATATATACGAGTGAGAGTATATAGAAGGCTAACTACAAAGTTTCATTCAGATAGCTTCAAAACTGAGAGACTAGTTTGCGTAGAAACGGACAGACGGACAGACGGACAGACGGACAGAAGGACAGACGGACAGACGGACATGGCTAGATCGACTCGGCTGTTGATCCTGATCAAGAATATATATACTTTATATAATCGGAGGTGTCTCCTTCACTGCGTTGCAAACTTCTGACTGAAATTATAATACCCTGCAAGGGTATAAAAATATTGTAATGGCAGTGAATAGCTTTCTCTTTCTCCCAGTCCGTATCTCAGACTCTCCTTGTCTCTCTCTCTCTCACCCTCTAACTCAGACTCCCCTTCTCTCTCTCTCTTGCTTTCTCCCTGCATATCTCTAGAGACATCTCTTGCTCTCTATCTCTCTCTCCCTCTCTCGCTCTCACTTTCTCTGTTCTCTTTCCTCGGGGAGTATAAATAGAGGTGCGGCTATCGCGCTACCCTCAGTCTGTCCGCGGCCTCCTCGCTGGTAACATCTATGGTGAAAGTGATAGTGACCCTTCGACCCCAAAAATATTACCTGATCAATGAAATACATCTGGATAACCAGGAAGAAACTGCAAGGGTAAAAAAACATTGACTTCTCGAAGATAGCTTGGCTTCTTTTTTAAATTGTGTCATATAGTAACTAATTAAACAACTAACTTCTACTTTTCCCATTAAACTTTGCTTCTATTTCAATTATTTACACATAGAACAAACAAAAGGCTATGCTATGCACACACTCCACTTTCTATTTCCATCCGTGCAATAATTAATTAAAGTATAACCATTCCGAAAACAGTTTCTATCTTTGGATATAATCTTTTTGCTGGTTACCTTTGTGGGTCGAGCGGCTGGCCAACAATGTGTGGGTATTTATTTACGGCCAGGGGCTTTCGGAGATAGGAACCAGGATCCAAGCTCCAACAAGTGGACGATACCGATGCATATACAATTCCTGTTAATTATTTAATTAAAAGTTTTATCTGCTCACGCACACGCACACACCGGATTTCTAGCAGGCCCCCCTTGGGAAGTTTTTGTTTCCGAGTCTGTGTTTGGGTTTAGTTTAGCCCAGAGTTCCGCCCACTTTCCATCCCCAGCAAATAGTTTTCTTCTACGCAAAGTTTTTATCAAGTTGCTGCTGCAATGGAAATTGCAATTGTTGTGCATTTATTTAGATTTCGCCCGCTTACAAGGACTTCACCCACTTTTCTCTATTTTCCAGAATCTCGTAGATTTCCGGGGCCGGTGTGACAGAGGGTGTGTGTGTGTGTGTGTGTTCGGTAATTAACATCATGAAGGGCTTTAGATGGATGTGCACGATTTATCTTTGCCTGGGACACACTCAAGAGGTTCATTAATTCTTACACACTCTCGCAGATTACTCATACGCACTGTGGAATGACTGAAGTGAGCAATTAAAAGCTCATTAGCATTTAAATTTTTCACGCCCAGTGCTGGGAAACAAAATCCCTGAAGAACAAACATATATTTATATTCCCCTTTGACTAGAAAACTTCTCAGGATGCATGTAGAGCCTCGCGGAAAGTTTTTATTAAATTGTTTTCCTCTCTCTCGCTTTTTTTTTGCGCAACAATCAATTACGCGGACGGGCCGACATTTATGGCTTTTGTTTGGGGAAAGCAAAAGTTATTCTTATTTTAATATTTCTGCAAAAGGTGGCCGGGCCGAAAAATGATTGCAAGAGTTAAAATTAAAAGCAAATGTAAAATCATATTTCTATGTGTAAACTTTTGCGCCCAGGCCTCAAGGTCCCCTCCGTCCCACTCCCCCTCGTGAAACAAAAGTTTTTTAATAAAATGTTTGCCTTTCCACAGTTCAAAAACTTTATTGAGTGCGGTGAAGCTGTGGTTCTGGACTGGAAAACGCAGGAGGAAAAAATCGGAGAGCCCACGGTTACAATAACACAGTGCACAGAAGTACACACTGGCAATAGGCCAGGCCACCGCCGACCAAGGTAATCGAGTATGAAAATTGGAATTCAAGCCGGCACTGGGAGCTGTGGCTGTGGCTGTTGCTGTAGCACTAAACAATGGCAAAACCTTCGGGAAATGAAAATGGCCGCCAAAAGACAATCGAAGGCGATGGCGACGGACGAAGAAGAAGGAATTTGCCTCGGCCTCCGGTGCGTATGCGTGTTATTGCAGCTGTGTATTGCTTTCGCCATGAAAACTAAACAACGCCCGCGGCGCAAATTCCAAGTTGCCATTGTCAATCGCAGACAGCGGCAGCAAAGTTCATTTAATTTTATCATCGATTTACGAAACTCGATAAAAATCTCGCCAAGGAAGCGACAGAGACGGCGGAGGAGGCGACCAGCAAGGTGCAGATTGAAAATTTATTGCATTTTTATTGCTTTAATGTGCGCGATAATCGAAAATTTATTTAAAAGGCGACCGCGGGGCATTTGCCATAGCGAGGGCGTGGCCGTGTTTGATTTGTGGCCACCAGAACCTGGCTTTAAGCTGGGCGGTTCTATACAGATAGATGTACTTGTAGATAAAAGTATCTACAGGCAGCTCTTGGCATGCATAATTAACACAACGAGCAGAGGTAGAGATAGAGCAAAGGTTTTGTTTCCAACTTAATTGTAATTTCGAAGCAACTCCTGATATGTCTCTCCCGTCTCTGGCAGTGTTTTGTAATTAGTGTTTGGGTCCGAAGTTATATTTTCCTGACTGATTTTGCAATAAGGCTCTGCCGGTATGTACTCCATGTTTCATTGGGCATGAATTTCCATTTTAAATTCTAATAAACTTTGGATTATTTTTTGAAGAATTGACAAACAATTTTAATATATTTTACTTTGAGTCAACAGTGAAGGAGTCATTTCTGACCCTATAAACCATATATATTCTTGATCAGCGTCAACCGGCGAATCTTTCTAGGCATCTAGGGAAGAACAAAAATTTGATAATTTTTTTTTCAAAATTTTATAACAGGTTTTCACATTGTTGACATTCTGAAAAATTGACAAAAATTGTAGTATATTGAAAATGTAATTTAGGTATGCAGATTTATTAACCTATTAAAAACTATCACAGAACAGCATTCCGAATCGAAATTAATTGTTTTTTGGCTTAGTTATTAGTTTTTAAGCTTAGTTTTGGACTGTTTCAGATTGTATCCTTTTTTCAAAAGCAAATTCTTGTTTAATTATAATTTTATTCACTCTTAATTTAGAACTTACAGGGACCCACTAACAAATATTCAAAAATAACCTCTTATCTAGTGTTCATGCATCATGAGGCGCCGACGGACACTGCCAATAGCTATGTTCCATTTAGGGTCAAAGGCTATGACCTCCAGATCCTTGCTTTTGGCCAACTTCTTGGTCTTCGAGCTCTTTCGCTTGGTGGCCTTCTTCTTCTGGGCTCCATGGCCATCACCGGATGCCTTTGGATCCGCAACGGATTCTGGGGCACAGATCTTTTCCAGCTTTCTCTGGAGGCGTTGTCGTGCTGTCTTCTTTTCGCCGACCAGCGGCAGGATGTGCCTAATGGACTGAACCCGCTGTATAGTCGGAGGTGCAAGACTCCGGATCCGGCGCATGGAAGACGGTGAAGGCCTAGACAACTTCGGTTTTGGGGGCGGCGGCACATGCGTCGCAGCGACCTTGGGCGGCAGATCCAACCGGTTGTCGTACTTGGGCCTCCTCTGCTGCAAGCGTGCCTGTATCCTCGATGGTTTCGGGGGCGGCGTGTAGGCCTCAAGGGTGTAGCGAGTGGAGTGCCTGCCACCACTCGTCGTGGAGCGTCCCAGGGACCACATGCCGTTGCGCTCCTTCTCGAAGGCGCGGTAGAGGAGGTGCCGCGGCACCGGAATGGGTAGTTGAGCATGCCGTTGCTGGGAAATCGTTTTCTATATTTACTGGGAGCAAAAAATCGGAGATTACCCTACCGAATTGTAGGTCTCCCGCTGGATCTCACTAAGCCTCGGCCAGGTGACAGCTGCCCGCTCCACGCCCTCGTCGATGCTGCAATTATGGATGATGCACAGTTCGCGGACGCAGTTGTAGAACTGCTGGGGATTGGCATCGTGCGGCTTAAAGCGGCTCAGGACGTTTATTAGGCGGGCACGCTGCTCCCGCTTCTGAACCTCGCTGAGATAGCCTTCGGCAGAAACCATATTCTGTCTTTGGTGGTCCATTGCGGCTTTCGTGGATTTAGAAGTAACAAACAAAAGTAACAATCTAACGGAATACAATTTCAATAAAATTTAAGTCAAGGGAACTATGTTTTTTGAATCGCTCTTCTAAAACACAATGAATTTCAAATCTGAATCTGTATAAATGTAAGAAAAAAAAATATGTTTGTATAAATAATATTTAAACGAAGCAGGCCACATCGGAAAAAAACGTTTTAAAAAATAGTGAAGGCTTATCACAAATGACGTTTACCAAATTTTGGTATTTTGTCACTTAATAAGGGACGTGATAAGGTTAGTGAAGCACTAATTTGGACTCCTAAACTTTTTCAATAAATATTTTAAATTGCTTGCTTAGTATGAAGGATATTTTAACTTAAAGCTAGATACAATGTAAAATGTTATGACATAAAACTAAGCATAGAATACGTTAGTCTCTTCTCTATTTTTTATGATATCGTTGGGGTTTTGTGATGCCTGTTTTTTGTTCGGCGCAAATGCCTTTCACAGCCAATATTCGCCGAACATAATCGCTGCGGGTTTTTGCCCTGGCCTGGTCCCAGATAGGGGAAAAAGTTTGCTATTCAAACATTTGTGTTAAACTGCAGGTAACCAACTGCAAATAAGTTGCCAACAAGCGACAGGCGCCCTCCTGGCCGGGCTCTAAAGCAGTGGGGTATGTGTGCTGGCCAGAGTTAACATTGTAAGCCGCTTATGTTGAGCCAAAAAATTTTTGTGTTTGTTTTCGAAATTTAAGCCGCAAAATGGCGCATGTGTGTAAGCATTATAAAAATATACAGCTATTCGGCGGAATGGCGCTGAAACTATGCTGATCTCTTTCGGGCCAGGATGTGTGGAGGGGAGTCTTGTGGGGAGCTTGTGAAGGATTGAAGGCATTGCGCATACGCCACGTTGTCGTAGGAGGGTGTGCTGGCCGCTCGTTAGCGAAAAATATGCAATTATTGCGAGATGTTTATGGCATTCATTAAATAAATATTATAATTTCAGGCATTCACTTGGCATTACAGCGAATTGCAGTTTCGCATATTAAATATGCTTGGATAGCATTTGAATTATTAATTACTATTCAAATAGGGCAGCAAAAGTTGGAAATTGAGAGCATTTTAATTTAAATAAATATAAATACAAAAAATTGTTCAACAAAAAAAATAAATAAAATGGCAACAACATCTGGATGGAATGATTACTCGAAATGTTTATATTACTGCAAGTGAGCAGTGTGTTATCGATAATGATTTTGGAAGTGAAATGGTTCAAGGGTTTGTAATGTATTAATTTTAAAGGGAATTTAGAGTGGTTAATGAAGGCTTCATGTCTGCAATGAGCCAAAGTGCATTTTATTTATTATGTTATTTAATTTGTATAATTTGTAAAAAGCTTTAAAAGGGAATTTTTTGGATAAAACCTGTATAAAAGATATAGTCAGAATGCGCCTTGGCTATTCATTACAATGAGTGTCTGAAATTATTAATTAATCTATCAACAATCTCTATTAATAATAATAATGTATGTACCTTACTTATCTCTAATGACCTATTTAAAATATTAACTTCTTAATATTAATATTATTCTATGCTTTGTAATACTATACAAAACCTTAAACTTTTTAATCTTATATCAAGAAAGGGATTTAATTTAACCAAAGCGTGTATACTCTTGGAGTTAACCATTACATCACGGTTTCGAATGTGAAATCAATCATAACTAAGCCAAAAAAGCATTAATTTCGATTCGGAAAGCTGTTCTGTGCTAGTTTTTAACAGCTTAATAAATCTGCATACCTAAATTAAATTTTTAATGTATTAGAATTTTTGTCGATTTTTCAGAATGTCAATAATGTAAAAACATGTTATAAAATGTTGAGCAAATATTAAAACTAAAATTTTTCTTCACTGAATAGTTGGAAAGATTCGTTGATGCTGATCAAGAATATATATGATTTATCTGGTCGGAAATGACTCCTTCACTGATTTAAAGGGTCGGAAACTGAAAAATAATAATGTGTAAGGATATACAGATACATCCTTTACTAGTGAATTTTGGTAAACAAATAATTTAAAAAGTTATAGAGTAAACTCTTCTGATCCATTAAAATTTCAACAAATCAAACGCCTGCTTAATGATCTATTCGACAAGAAGAATTCAATGTCGTAACATATGGGATTAATTACAAATTTAATTTGTTTTGCACTCACAATGGGCTCGCCGCATTTTTTTGTTGGCGCTCTTTGTTGCCAGTGGCGGCAGCTGCCGCTTTGGGCAAATAAAAATAAAGCATTTAAATGCATGACATCGAATGGAAATTGACACATTCAATTTGGCATCAATTTAGCTGGGCAGCTGCAGGAAATTGCCAAGAGATTTACAAAGCCAGGAGCAGCAGCAGCTGCCAAGTGTTGTTCCTACTTCCGTATTTCCGTGTTACCCTGACTACTCCCCTCGAGTCGTGGTAGGAGGCAGATCTGAACTTTGGTGCAATTTAAGTTTTGACTAGCTCGGCTTGATTTCATTTTGAAGTTATTCCGACCCCTCGGGATGGCCGGACGTCGGAGGGGATGTCTCAAATGCAAAAACTTTGCTAATGCAGCCAAAGCTACAGCCAAGTTTGATTTCTCCGGCAAAAGTCAATCGGCAAATGCATTTCTGATATCAAACACGGACTGTGTTTCAGTTCTGCATATCTGCATATTCCGATTCTGATTCCTATTCCTATTCCGATTCAGATTCAGTTTCACAAAAAACTAGAAAGTTGCAATTAAAAGTTCTTTGGATCCGTTTTACAAGCGCATTAATTCTGTGCAACGCATAACTAATGATTTAATTTCTCCCAGGCTAAGCCTCTGTGTCTCTAGCCTCGGGACTGTGGGACTGTGGGCCTGTTTTGCCATCATTAGCAACTTAAAAATGATTATTTGCAATGCAAATTCTAGCCAGAGCAGAGAAAAGGGTCCAGAGAATATGAAAAGTATGCCATCTGCATGAGAAATGCAGCAATTATAACAGACTCCAGAGAGTCTCGGCTGCGACTATTTGAAATTAAAGCCTAAAAATATTTACTCAAACGCAAAAAGGATTTCTTTTGGTAAGGAAAAGGTATCTGAAAAGCCAAAAAACTATATATACATAACATTTCAAAATATATCTATCTGGTTAAGCTCTAATGTTAGTATTTTCCACACCTTTTGAGGTGTAAAATATTCTAGCAACTGACAACCGCTCCCCAGATGATCTCAAGGCTAACTTTTTCTATAAGCGTAATAATGACCTCGCCATAATAGACAGCAACTAGACGCAGTTCGCACAAAAATTGAAATACGGCTCCCAATGCACACATTCTGCCAGCTGAGGGAAACAAAATGGTCGAGGGAAAATGGGAAATGGGGGCTGGCTGGACTCTGTAGCATTTTTCACTGCCTACATAGCGGCGCGGCGGCCATAATGTCATTTAATTAAACGCCAGAGAGCAGTTGCCGGGGCCTCCTGGCTGTTGTTTGCTGTGTGTTACTTGTATTTCCCAGCTTTTTCTGCTTTTTTGCGCCGTTTTTGGTTACTTGTGCGGGGTCAGCGGCTAAACGGTTAACCAAAGTTAGCGGGAGGCCAGGGCCACATAATTGGGGGACGGGAGAGCAGCAGGAGTAGGAGTCCCAAGCCAAGCCAAGGACGAGCAATTTATGTTCATTTGCATAGATATTAAAAATTGTTAGGAAGTCATTAGTAGGCATCAGTCAAATGACGCAGCCTGCATATAAATTAAGCATAATTTTATTAGGCCAACTCCCCGGGAAGGTCACCCACTTGACAAATGTCCGCGGGGGCCAACTGGAAGTCGGAAAAAGAACAGAGAGCAGACTGCCGAAAACGTGTGCCTGTTGTCGTATTAATTATTAGTTTTAATTGCGTTTTGTTTGCCCAGCCGTTGTCCTTTTTCGCCTAAACCAAAATCCCCAGCACACATATCCCCGTTTGAGTGGGCCCTTCAGCCCCAGAAATTGTGTGCAATTAAATACTTTAAACCATAATGTATTTTTCACAAGTTGAGCAATGTTGACCATTTGGTTGCGGATGTGGTTGATGCCCCTATTCTGGTTCGGGCCCCCATTTCTGCTGGCCAGTGTAAATTACATGCGCAAGAGGGCAAAAAGAAAACTCATTTGTATTCGGAGACCCAAGGACCTTCGGCTTAACCCCACACTGACCACCACTGCCCGCAAGTCAAAAGCTCAACCGCAGGCAATTTAATTTCTCTTTTTTTTGCCAGCTTTGCCACAGGAAGTGGAAGAGGGGCAGGATTGGTAGATAACTAATTCGAGCTGCGTCTGCCAGTTAGCTTATCAAAAATTTTAATTGCATTTTTTTCTATTTGTGCCTTGGCTTATCTTTTCGTATTGTGTGTTGTGTGTGTGTGTGGATTTGTTCGATCTGGCTTTCATTTCTTTTCCCGGCCAAATTCACCAGGGAGTCTCTTGGCTCACGTTTCGAAATTTTTGGCTGCCCGCCGCACTCCCTCATCCACTTCCGTTTCCGCTTTCGCTCCGATATTAAATGGTGCGCGTAATTAGATTTTAAATTTATTGTTCTGTGCCCGGGTATTTATTTTGTCTGCCTTGGTGTGCATAACAATGCTGCAATGGCTGCAATAAATAAATAAACAAAACGTGAATGTGAATTCAATGGCACTGCCTTGTTTTTTATTTATTTTCCTTTTTGTTTTGTGCAGGGATAGCTGGGCCTCTGGGGAAGCCGCCGCCGAATAGGAGCCTCTGCACTTGGCAGAAAAAATCACAACTATAAAGCATTAAGTCCAAGAAATAATGGATATATTTCCTGATTTTGTAGGACCCAAATGGCTGCACAAAAAATACTTTATAGATCTCAAAACACATGGCTTAATGTACGAGAAATCCATTAAACACATAGCTAAGCTCATGACAATCCCCTCGTAAAACAAACTATTTTCCCCAAGTGTAGCGCTTCTAAGCCACACATGTTCTATCTCTCGACAGTAAATTGAATTTGTGAAATTGATTTCCTCTTAACCCAATCAAAGGCTTAAAGTCCACCTCAAATGGCGGCAGATTTAAGAGTTAATCATTGTGCACACATTCCACCTGCAATCCTGCCACCCAAACTGACCCCATTTTCTGACTAATTTATGGCTCATCTTTGCCGAGTGGCTGCCGCAAAACTGCGGCATGGACTGTCCATTCCAACCGCAGACAAGATACGGAGGAGGCATTGAGGCTCTGCCACACTGCAGCCAGGGGAGATGGACAGCTAGACAGGAGAAGAGTTGCACAGGTGACACAGTCACTGGACGGACGACTCACCTTTAAATTTCCATAAATTGCGTGAGTAATGAGCGCTTAATAATGCTCCAAATGGCATATTTTTAAGTTCCGGTTGCGAGAGGTCAGTGTATGTTTCACAATTTACATATTGCGAAATATTTGTGCTCATTAAATATGCGAAAAATAAATGCGGGCAGGCAAACTGCAGCTACAGAACGGGGGACACACACACAGAGGTATTGTTTGTAAATTTCATAAATCACCGATGGTAAAAACGCTGCAATGATGACGATGATGATGATGATGAGTGGCTGGCGGCCATATCAACTGGCATATCCTGTGAAGGAAGGAGTGGACCATCTGCCAGGCCGTGTTTACACATGTTCAAAAACGCAAATGAGCCGTAAAGCGCTGATAATGCAACAAACTGACAATTGACAATTTGACAATTGATGCATTCAACGGATTTGGTCCCTTTTGGCTTTAATATTCATACAGAAATTTATTTAAATATTAAAAATTAATTTGCTGAATTTTTCCTTATGGTCTGTTATGTCTTCTGTGCCTTTGTTTCTCTTTACCATGATTTCTCTCCCCAGATAAACTCATATTTGCTTGCTTGAGCAGCATCCCATAACTGACAGACTGTCTATATCAGTTTGCCCTCGTCCTGGTCCGAGGTCCGTGTCCTGTCGGCAGCATTAAAAATATGCCAATAACTCCGACCAGCTCGCTCGTTTGCTGGCAAACGCAAATGATGCGGATACTCCGATTCCGAATCAAAATGAGCTGCCTGCCAGGAGATGGCTCATGCATGTCCTTGAATGGGTGGAGCCACGCCTTTTGCCCTCGGACAATGGCGCGAAATGTGTAACGGAAACCGCACACAGCTGAGTGCACGAAGGATCGAAGGATTGAGTCCAAGTCCGGTCTGCGGAATCCGGACTCACGGAATCCCGTATCCGGATGCCGGTCTCCATCTCTCCCGTAATGCGCACAATAAAATTTTAACGTAAATGTTACGTAATTAAATGTGCTCGCCGCACAGCAGCGCGTAAAACGAGATTGAGATTGTTTTTCCTGCCCGAATCGCAGGGCTCTGTATTCAGGATTCGGGATTCGGGATTCTGGATTCAGGATTCTGGATTCCCCTTTTCTGGATTCTTTATTGAGGCGGCAAACAAAGGGGACGGTAATATGTGTGAGGGGGTGCACTTCGAATTCGTTCAAGGAGCAGGCAGCATAACTCACTAGGCATTGAGGTTAATGGCCGCGGATGTTTTTTTACGAAAAGCACACAAGTAAAAACACTTTAAATACTACATAATAAATATGTCTTTTAATGGAAATACATTAAGTTCTCACCGAAATTCTTTCAAGTAATGCAATTGTTGACCGCAGCTCCTGGCTCTTACACTTAAATCCCCCATTTATCTCTAATTAAAGTCCTTGGCAGCATAATCCCCAAATACCGAGCATACTTTTAGGCGCCGAGTAAGCCGGGCAGGACAACCGCAGAATGCGCTGCGGTGGCCAGCAGCAAGAGTTTCCGACATTGCCGACGTATCGATTAAGCCATCAAAACTTCGACCGCGCTTATTAATGCGCGCACATCAGCGCTAAAATGCGGTCATAATTCAAATGAGGTGCACCCTCTCCTACGTCCTACGACTATTGTCCTTGTTTCAGGACTTCGACTTTCCACCGTAACTCAGATCGATTGTTTCCCTTGCCGCAATGAGGGAAGTGAATTTTCTCAACCGCCGGACGCGTCAGCTGCTGTTCCTCATCTTGGCGGTAACCCAACTCTGCGGCGTCACCACCTGCGTCTACAGCTGGCGCGAGAAGCGCTTTCGTCCCTCCGGTGTCCTGCAGATATACGCCGGTCTGATTCTATTCGTTGTGTCCTTGCTGTTGTATGGAAGCTTCAGTGAGATGTTACTCCATGTGAGAGAAATGTGGCCTTTTATGGTGGGCAGCTACGTGATGCTCGTAGTTCGATTTCAAGGCTTTTGGGGCAGAAAGGATCTCCTGAGGCTCCTAAACGAGCTCCTTGAGGTCTTGGAACAGGTGAATGTAATGGCCAGGCATCCGAATATCTTCCAACTGAGGCACCTGCTGCTCCTGATTCTGGGTCTGCAGAATCTCCTGCGATGCCTGCACATGCTGGTGGACATCAGCCGCAGTGTCGTCTTCGAGAGTTTCATCTCGCGTGTGCTCATTCTTTTTCTGCTGGCCTTCATGTTGACCTTTCTGCTCGATATCATCATTAATCTCTGCCTGTTTGTGGTCCTCATAGCCAGTTACAATGAGTTGCATCGCTGTACTCGCAGAATCTCCAATGATTTGGATTCACTGAGGCAATCAAGAGTCCTGGAGAGTGGCCAGTTTCTGGTATTGGTGGAGCAACTGCAGGCGATTACCCAGGGATTAATTCAAATTCGAGTTAGGGTCTTTCAGCTGACAGTCGAAATTATTGATCATTTTCGCTTCCATTGGCTGTGTGGGCTTATCTATGCTTTGATACCCTTTTTGTGCTTCATTGCCATTCATGGCAAAGACTTTTACTACTTGAGTATTTCCGCATTGAATTTGATATTCCACTGTACGGTTTTTAAAATAATATCCTGGGAATCAAGGACAACAAGGAGTTTTTGCCACTTTCAGATGAGTAACTATCACAAGGAGTTGGATAGAACGGTGACTGGCTATGATTGCTTTTAAAAATACTATATAATATACTATAAAAATTTAACCCACAGGTCGACGTACTGTTGCACCAGGAAATTAGGCAACCCCTCAAGGTCTCCATATATAATGTCATCTTGGACACGAAACTCCTGCTGAGACTCCTCTCCCTCTGCGCCTTTTGGGTCTTTGTGAACCGTCAAGGATACTTGCTGCTCCATCGGAATATTGTTTAAGTGTTTCTACCTGTCACTTGACTGTCAAATTAAAGTCCAAGACATTGTCTCAATTTCGATATTGCCTATTATTAGCATCTCTGGCATTTCGGCATTTCGGGGCGGGCTGTTGTAATATTATCGCAACTGTTTTGTGTTCCGATGTCAATTGCACAAGTCAAAAACTGCCTTATAGATGACTTTCGAGATACTTTGCCGGCAATTACGTAGCCGTTTCATTGTTCCCCGACTCGGTCCAAGCCCGGCCCACGAACAAGCTTCATAATATTTTCACTTTTATGGCAGGCGACATAAAAGGCGACAGCTCCGGCAATAGCAGGCAACATCATCATTATCAACACCATCAAAAGCCCTGGGAAATTCCACCTTTTCCTCTTCCATCTCCTCACTGAATTTCCCTCTTCTTCTTTATTGTCGTAAAATCCTAGGAAAAAAGGAAGGCGGGCGGGCGGAGGGCGTAGGGCGAAAGTGTGAGTGCGTAAATTTCTCTCTGGACTTGTACTTGGACTCGTCGGAGTCGCTCAAGTGTCCTTCCATTCAGTGTCGTAAAATTAACGCTTTATATGAACGAAAGCATAAGGCGCTCGATTTTTATCACCAAGGCCAAACAAGATGGCCATGAACGGGTCCGCAAAATTAAGTGGCACAGAGCAAAAAACTTCTAGCTAAATAGTAGCCTTAAATGCTTGACATACAAATTTCTTAGAAAATATATGAGTGAAAAGAATTAAATATGATTAAACTTATAGACCACCATAAGTTAAAAGTCCTAAATTTGTTCCCGGATTAATTCAAAATTTTCCTTTCAGTGTCCAAACTGAAGGCAACACTCTAGAGAGCATAAAAAGTTTAGAGTTGAATTAGAAAGACTGAGCAGCGAGCGAGAGAGTCCTGTAACTGAAGGACACTGAGTGGCGCTGGCTCAAGATGAGTGCCTAAAGATGGCCCCGAACGAGTGTCTAATTATTTACGTGCAATGAAAGTTATGAATTGGGTTCAACTTGGAGGCGATTAAGTGTCCTTTGGCCCCTCTGTGGATCTGGGGAGATTTTCTTTAGTCTAGTCCAGGCTACCATAGACTTTGTCGTTTCTTCAGCTAGTTTGCATATCTCTCAGATACCTTAGAAAAATAATTATCCCTAAGTCAGTGATCTATGGATCTTAAGACACTTTATAGGGGTGTGTCATGCCCACTCCTGTTTCAATTACCTAAGGTATAATCAATTATCAATATGGCCGCATTACAATAATCATAAAAGGTCAGGGCAGAGGGAAAAGAAAGAGGTTTGATCATGGGTTGGCTGTCTAATTATTTACGTGCAATAAAAATTACGAATTGGTTTCATTTTGGAGGGGATTAAGTTTGATTTACTCCTCCTCTCAGGGCCTTTGCCTTTGCTGTCTGGGGTGTGGGGATTTTCCTCAGTCTGGTTCCGTCCAGGCCACCGTAGACATTATCGTATTGTGTCCGTATGTGTCTATGTGTTTCAAAGCCCGGGAATAGTGCGTCCAATTGCTATTAAATTCGACCAAGTAAAGAAATATACACAAAAATGCTTGCGGTCAAGCAGCAAAGCGATACTAAGCGCCAGAAGCTGGACTCCGAGGGGGACTCCCAAGCCCAATCGAAGTCGAAGGCACAACCACAATCACATTCCCAGGCCCAACAGTGCCAAGATCAGGATCTGAGGCTGCTCAAGCCCTTCGATATGCGAGTTAAGCATCCTTTGGAGCACACTTGGACGCTGTGGTATCTCGAGAACGATCGCAGCAAGTCCTGGGAGGAATTGCAGAACGAGATCACCAGCATTGACATGGTGGAGGACTTTTGGAGTCTGTACAATCACATAAAGCCACCGTCAGAGATTAAAATCGGCAGCGATTACTCTTTGTTCAAGAAGGGAACACAGTGAGGCCCATTTTTGAACAATTCTTAAGCTTCTTAACCCGCTTTGAACCTACTTTTAAATGCCTTTTAACCCATTAATACTTTATTTGTTTGTAGGCCCATGTGGGAGGATGAGGCCAACAAGTACGGCGGCCGCTGGGTCATCAATAGAGGGCGTGGCTCCAAAGTGGAGCTCGACAAGCTCTGGCTGGATGTGGTAAGTGACCATGTGGCCATGTGGCTTTGTGTCCCTTGGCTGTCGTATCTGTAGGAGCTGCCAGCTTCCTCACAACAACACAATCTCAACCTACTATCCGCCCGCTGACAGCTACTCATACTGATTGGTGAGGCCTTTGATCACACTGAAGAAGTCTGCGGGGCTGTTATCAACTTGCGCGGCAAAACCAACAAAATTTGTAAGTATCTTACACAAGGGGAAACAAATGTAGAGAATTTTCTACAAGAAAATTGATATTTATAGAAGAAAATGCTTTCTTTTTAAAGGTTTCCTCAGACAATACTTCTTCTCTTCAAAGATTAATTTCTATCTTAAAGAGGTTTATATTACAATAACATCTGGAAAAGACTTTATGATTTATCCTTTTTTTACAATACATAAAATATATTTAAAAGATTAATTTAAAGTCGGGTATTTCAACCCACTTTTCTCAAGTGTTTCAGGCATTAGTAGGGCCAGTATTGTGATGACATATATGGAATCTCCCAAAGCAACTACCTAACGCAACTCCTAACTCAACTTCTCCCCTCCATCCTCCAGCGGTTTGGACCGCCAACGGGTACAACGAGGAGGCCGTCATGGAGATTGGCCTGAAGCTCCGGGAGTTGCTCTGCCTGCCGCCCCTCCAGCTGCAGTACCAGCTGCACAAGGACTCCATGTCCAAGCAGGGATCGGTGGTCAAAGCGGTTTACTGCCTGTAAGCCGAACGGTTCCGTTGCTGCTTCCATTCCCAACCCAACAACATCCACTGCCCAGGAGAACAATTTCAACCAGAAGACACCACCCAAAGCCTGGCTGATTTCAGCGTGTGTATTCCAAAAATCTTAAAAAAAAAAAAGAAAAATAGAAAAAAAGACTTTGCATGAAACGGGTTTTATGAATTTGACAATGTTAAAAATTAAAAAAAAGAAAGAAACAAGCTGCAAATATAAAGTGCTAAAAGAATATTAAAAAAATATAAGGTAAGCTCCCAAGGAGTTCTTTCTTTTGGGTCCTTCACGCTCCGCGAAATATTATGCAAACATATGCCGCACCAGAGCGCAAATAAAATGGTTTATATACACTTTTAGCTTGTACGGGGCAGGGCCAACAAGAAGTGCACAGTGACTGCAAAAGATAAACGTCCACTTGGCGCGCTTGGCTGGTCGAGCGAAAAACAAAAGACCGAAAAGGGTCAACAATAGGGAATTGTCCGTTTTAGCGAGGGTCGTAGTCGGTATTCGGAAAATCCACTCAAAGAATAATATTAAAATTACATACAAGAAATTTATTTAAAGTATATTTTGTATGTTATTTATATTACAGATTAAACAAAACAAAAAAAAAAAAAACGGGAATGTATAGGAAAAAAATATATAATCTTGCGTACTCCAGAAATCTTGATGGTCTTTACATCAGAACTAAATATTTTAAAACCTTTTAAGGGGTTATTTAAAACTCTGTGTATATGTCCCAAATTGAATTGGAAATAAATTATACTGTGGATGAATATTGAAAGTAAAGTCCTATATAATCTATGAATCAAATTATCCTATTCACAATCTAAACCTATTTAGCACATTTAGAACCAGTTTATTACCAAAGTTTTCTGTTGTTTCATAAATAAAAAAATAAATACATTTATATGGATCACATTTCTAAAAGAATCTTATAAGCAGCATCTTTACTTTTGCAGTGTAATCTCTGGCCGTGGCGTCGAGGGTCCCCCGGACTGAAAAATGCAAGCTGAAGACAATTGAATTTTGATGAAAGGCCGAAATAGCGATGTTGGCTGCTACTCGCAGCATTAAAATTCATGCTAAGTGCTAAGAGTTTGAGTTCCAGTTGGGGTTAAAGGGCGCGGCAGGCGGCGTTTCAATCAGCCTTCAAAACACCGATGACGATGTCGCACGATGGCACGTGCAAAGTTCCTCCATGATGAGCAACTTAAAGCTGACACAACCCAGCTCCGCCTCCATCTCCATCACCATTTCCAGGTCCTAGCCTTGGTGACTGCATTTCAGAGGTGGCTCAGGTGGCGGCGGCTGCCATAGGGAGCTGTTAAACCGAAACCGCATCAAAACCGCACACGTCCCACACGGCGTGCAGCTGGCTGACTTCACCTCCTGGGTCCTCCTCCTCCTTCCTGCACCTTTGACATATTGCAGGGATAACAGGGATATGTTATAGGTGGAGGTAGCAGAGTCAGTAGAGAGGAGATGTGACAAACTTTTTGCCTTTAGAGGAATATTTACAAATTAGTTGCTCGAAACGTGACATCGAGAATGCCGGTCGGCGGAACATTCCACTTGCAATTGGAGTTACATGTTACATGTTTCATGTTCCATAGAAAAACTTCTGGAGCAGGCAACTTAATTAGCAAATAAATAAATTACGTTGCCATTTGTTCCCCCTTTGACACGTCTTTAAAGAGGTCTAAAAAAGAGGTTTTTGAGAAGGTTTTTTAATGGAAACTTCAATTAAGTAAAGGATAATGACGGTGGTTGTTGTATTATTAAAGACTAAACTGGGAGAGTAATAACTTCTAGATCAACTATAAGTTTTCTTATATTTAAAGACGAAACTGAAACAAAGGTAAACCTTTACAACACTTAATAGCTCTTTATGAAACCGATTTTATGTATTCTTTGTGGCATATTTATGTGTTACTGAAATTGGTTAATAAAAATCTGAACAACAGTGATGGGCAGCCTTGTCTATTAGCTCGCTTATAGACTCGAATAGAGATCTATCACCCTTTCGCGTTGGCCAGCTTCACATGCATACATATATCAACGCTTTTCATATAGCCAGCACAAACCGCACAGAGCTCCAGCTTTGGTTTTTATGGCCACACCAGCTGGACAAGCACTATGGCAGGCGGGGAACCCCCCAAACCTACCCCTTAGACGCCACACTCCCTGCTCCACCCCCATAAGCTTTTGTTTATTCTGTGAATTGTTGGTGCGCGTTCGCTGGTTTCAGCTTTTTGGTGTGGTTCGGTTTGGTTTTCTCTTTTCGGCAAAACAACACTACACAACATAAAAATAAATTGCACTTCTGACACTTGAATACAGTGGAGGAGTAGGGAGTTGGAGCTGAAGTTGGAGGAGGCTGCTGGGCAGCGACACATGATTAAGTGGAGTTTGCGGTTGGCCCTGGCTTTGTCCGGGGAATACGCATGTAAATCTATTTGGGTATACATTATCGTCGTCCAGTTGAAGCTTAACTTTTATCATATAATAAAATGTAATTTTCCAACTCGTAACTCGTAACTCTCTGGTAATTAGAATTTATAGCGAACTTAATCGCTTTTGGCACGCAGTCTAGCAGGATGAGTAGGGATCTATCCTTCATCCACGAGTATATATTTCATTATTTCCAGCAAGGAACAGAATTTCATTAGGCATGCAACAATTTTTGTGCAATTTTTGCGTAAAGGGATAACAATACGTACAAAAACAATAAATAAAATAAATAAAAATAAATAAAGAGACAGGAAAGCAGACGATGAACAACAAACCGAACCCTACCTCACCAATGCCGAGCATTCGAAATGAAATATTAATTTGCAAAATTCCATAGCGGGCTTCCTCCTCTCTCCTAGCTCTTCACAAATTTTTATTATAAATTAATAAGAATTTATAACGCCAAGGGAGAGGCAACGCAAACCGCAGTCAGGAGTCTACTTTTGAGTTTACCTTCGAAGAGGCCTCTAGGACCAAAGAGACGACGACAGGCAGCCGGAGATATTTGTCTACAAATATTATTGCTATTCGAAATGTGTAGTAGCCCAGGCTTAGACGAGGTCCTTCGCTTCGTTCTACGTCCTTGGTTTCACCAAAAAATTCCTAGCTGGCAAATATGCAGGCCGGAATGCCACCCCTCCTCGCCACTCCTCACCACTCTGGTAATGGCCAAATTCAGTGCGAGATAAAGGCCAACCCCCGAAAATAATTCTTAATATTTTCGCTTCATAAATATGTAAATAAATGCCAAGACAAAAGAAATCTTGACTGTACTTCGTTGGCCATTTCCCAGGCGTGATGGAAACTATAAAGGAATAGGAATCCAGGACTAAAACCGCACGGATCGCACAACGGGATATTAAGCGCACAAAAGTTGCCCGCAAAGATTTGCCTTGGACGGAGCCAACTTAATGAAATAAAGCACTCGCTTAGCAGACACATTCGAGGCAGAAGCAGGAGCAGGAGCAGGACCTTAACCCGCAGCATAAGAAGTCAGTCGTGAAGAGCGTACGTGAGCAATGAAAAAGTCGCAAACACTTTATTATACAACGTGGCAGAGAACGTGGGGGTGGCTGTGGTGGTTGGACCCATCAAAACGCTACGCGCTGCGTATACGTAATAAGTCCTATGTAGATGCAGTCCTCCCAGGCCACACCCATTACTCATACGCCGCGTCATTGTGCCGCAGCCAGATAAAGACCGACGAGCCGAGACCGAAACCGCTGGCGAAAGACAAAAGATGGCCACAGGACACTGGTCTGGTCCGCAGGACCAAGGACGCTGGCAAATGCACATAATAGTGCGTGGAGCAAGGTATTTTGGTATTTTAAACATGTGCCCGCCGGCTAATGCATAGTTGATGGGCCTAGTCCAGGGTCCAGTGGACCAAAGTGTTGGTCCAACTTGGTCAGCGATTTGAGCTCCCTCCCTCCATTCCTCATTCGTGGAAGAGGATGTGGATCAAGCCTTAAATAGAGCCAACAATCAACTAAAATGGGCCGAGAAACGGCGGTATTACATAAATATTTAAGTCACAGAACGTATTTTGTAATATGATATATTTTCCCTTGGGTAATTTCTTTCCGAAAAGTAATGAAAATGCCTCTTCTACAATTAAATACATATAAATCTGTTAATTACTGAGAATTATTCTACTAATATAAAGTTATTCTCCTAATTAGCATTTTATTATCAAAGACTTTAATTTTGCGTTATTGCTGTTTATTAAAGCTTTATCCCACTGTAGTTTGTTTAAGGATAATTAAAATAATTTAAATAATAACAATGATGCTTTTTGCAAATTATCCCAAAACCGAAACACAATTTTGAAAGGTGAAAACTTTCGCCGCAGGTTCGCTTTTAATTTCACACACAATCAATTTGTGTTTATTAGCTCATTATAAACATTTCGGCCAGCGGAGTCATCTTAGCAGTCCCGGCACGTGGGTCGTATACTTAATTTGCTTAGTCAACGAAGCAAATCATTGACCAGGAGGCCACGGCCATGGCCATGGCCACCACCACCTGCAAGACGTGCGTGCTTGAAATGGCCAAGGATTTATTGGTCTTGGGGCCTCAAACAAATTTTATAATGCGAAACTACAAAGTGCACTAATTTGAGGTGTTGAAGGAGGAGGGTCAGGATGGTGTCCTTGGGCTTTTGATGTGCACTCAAGGGTTGAGAGAGGTGGCATAATCAAATCAACATCTGGACCCGCAAAAAGGGTTTATTATTTGCCCTGCCTTTGTTTGGCCTCATTCTGTGGTCTTGTTTTCTGGTCGGACACCTTATACATCCCGTTTCTGGACCTGTGAGCGTCTTGAGCTCCTTATTAACTGTCACTTGGCACAATTTAAATATATAATCCCGGGCGCGACTCATATTCTTTTTAATAAGTATGCAAATACAAATACCACTTGCACAGCGACTCATTCCTTCGAATTTCATGTAATTTGAGTTTGAGTTCCCTTTTAGCTCTGTTCTTGTTTGTTATTTGCCGCTGTTCTCTGGCCCAAGTTGCGTCTAGACGTTTTAAGCGCGCCCGAGATTATGGGAAATTCATAAGCGACATTTGGGCCATGAGTTTGGAGCCTTTGGGGACGTGAAATG